TATCTATTATACGGCAGAAAGGGTAGTACTATAGCTACTTACCTCTATACGAGATTACTCTAGTCTCTAAAGGAATAACTCCTTCTTCTAGCGGTTATTAGTAGGTTCTGCCTTAACTACTAGTTTTTCCTTAACTACTAGTTCGGGCTTAACCTATACGTACGTTAGTAGATGCACTATTATACGAAGGAAAGGGTATATAAACTATAACGTTCGCTAAAAGATAGGCGTCGCTTTCGTCGCTATCGTCCGTAGTTACGGCAATATCGATATTATCTAGGTTGTCGTCGGAGGCCTATTAGGAATTAGTATAGTAACTAGATGCATATTATATAGGTAATACGTATAGGTTTCTCTACTTTCGGCTTCTCCGATCGGGCTTTCTTCTTTTTCTTCTTATTATTACTAGCGATAGCTTTTTTATAGAGCCTAGCTATAGCCTTAACGAGCTTCTCTTCCGCTACGGCTATATATAATAGGGAATTATCTACATCGTATTAGCTAGGCCGCTTAAAGACTAAGAACACCCTATACGTCTTCTTCGTTCCTTACGGGAAGATACGAGCGAGCCTCGAGCCTTCGTATTCCTTAAAYACTAGTTTAGTAGGCCTATTACGGTTATTATACTRCTTAGTTATRTAYATAAGGGTRTTRTTAGGGTAATYRATCTCTAACTTTAYACCTAGTAAATACTTAAATAGTTRYATTATAGYAGCTATATAATCGAACTTCTAATTAGGTACTAAGACAGTTTAAGGTTGCCCTATTAAAGTTAGCGATTRTAYACYRGTRTCTAGAACGACGAAGTCGCTAGYAAYAAACTAACTATATATATACCCTTCTTCTTRTTTTAAAACTTCGGTATCCTATCGGGGTCCTTAGGTAATATCGTGTACCTAGCAATAATAATAGTAATAGTTATCCTTACCTATATAAAGGAGCCGGATRCCGTTCCCGCTAGTTCCTTAGGCCGAAGGCTAATTAGGAGGTTACCGGCGTCGTACTCCGTCTTTAGTAGGTTCCGTATATAGTCGGTATCGATCTTCCGCTAGCGCTTATTTATCGAGCGCCTATTRTTTAGACTAGTATTRTTTAGGTAATTGTTATCGCCGTAGTTCTAGCCTATTCTAACTAGCTTATMGTCGGATRTTTCTATATTAGAGGCAATCTCTATAGGGGTAACTCTAGGAGGGATTCCGGCGCCGTTAAGGCGAGGCTAGCGTGCTAGTAGCTACGTAGCCCGCTATATAAAGCCCTTAGAGCTGCTTATAACTAGCGGCGTTAGATTATAGAGCTTATAGAAAGGGCACTTAATATTATTACGTAGGGTTTCGCCGTAATTAAAATTATTACGCTTTATATATATTCGAGGCTATAGCTTCTTCTATTGCTTCTTATTACCTATCGTTCCTCCGTATAAAGCGCTTCGGGGTTCGTAGACGGTATCGCGATCGTATAGAAGCTATAATAGTAGTAGTAGCCGAGTTATAGACCGAAGAATAGAGGGAGGGTAGAGATAGTAGGGTCCCGTTTATAGCTTTACACACCGCGGTAGTATATAAAGGTTCGAATTATACGGTGCGATCGTACGATTATTATACGGTTGCTATAGAGATTACACCTTTAGCACTAATATAGCGTATAAGGGGCGACTTCGAACGTTTATACTAGCGTATATAAGTAAGATAGTAACCTCGGATAATATARGGAATGCTTATATGCTATTATACGTACTATAGATTCTCCTCCTTATCTAACTAGTAGTTGTCCTCGCTATTAGAACTAGTCCCGTCCTCCTCCTTTTCTAAGATCGGATCTATAACCCTATCTAGTGCCTCCTTAAGTACTTTACGTTTATAATCGTTATCGCACTAATTAAGGAACGTCTATATAATAGCCTCGGAGTTTACTTTAAACCCCTTCTACTTCCTACCTCCCCTTAGGATAGTAGTCTCCTCTAACTAGTAGTCTAGTATCTTACGTAACTATTTAATAAGGTTCTCGTAGGCAATCTAGTGCTCTAGCCGTTAGACCTCTAGTATAAAGCGGTAAGAGCTAGGCCGGCCGGTCGCGAACCTAACATCCTTTAGAATATTAGTATATAGTTCCCGAGTTACTAGTAGYAAATATTTATTAGGATCTAAAGTTRTTAGCAAAATAAGAATATAATAACTATATAAACGGCGTCCGCCTATATAAACGCACCCTATGTAGAATAGGYATCTACTAGGCTATTAATATACTCCTCGTCGATAGTATGCCTAAYACTTTTACGCCCCTAGGCCTTAGCGAAATAATATCGATAGTAAGGGATCCTAGGTATTATATAGGGTCGGTTCKGTTACTTCCGRATCGGATRTAGGTTCTACGTCTATATAAACGAAGCTATCTCCTCTCGYATAATCGGCGTRTAGATRTACTTTATTACTACGCGATCGGACCGCTTTAATTTRTAGAABTAGCCGGATTTCTTRTATTTCGYAAAGAAGACCTATAGTAGTAAGCGTTAAGTTCGTRTACCTAAGGCTTAGTATAATAYRAAGTAGAAGTCGCGCTATAGGAAGTAGGTAGTTTAGACTTATATACTACTTCTTTATCCGCCCTCGGGTAAGCTAGCCCTACTAGGCCTTAACTCGAACGTTACGAGTACTTAAACCGAAAATAA